ATCACTGCATTCTCAAATTGTTGTAGTTGCACTATTTTCGTTAATGAGATCAATACAGGAAATATTTTCTTTTTTTTTTACCATTTGATATACTGTTTTTATTGTATTTTTTGCCAATATCCGATACGGTTACAGTTAATACTACTTTGTGGAATAATTTACATGTTCAGTGTCATTGCGCCCTCTATGTTGGTTACCACTTTCGCTGCCACTTTCCTGGTAGTAGCGAGACTGGGATGCAAAAATACTCGTGCTTTGTCATGGCAGAAAATAACAACATGTCAGTTTGTTGATAGTCGATAGAACGGAATTTTATTTTTGTGACGTCCATTGGTATACCCAGAAGCACAATATCACGCGTGCAAGTTTACGTTACACCTCAGGGGTCACACCCCGAACCGGCATGCGCGCGCATGTGAAACGACGTATCTTCGACTTCCGGGGAAGTTCTGGCAGACCGTGATCACCATTACGTCAACACAGCACCAACTGATATAACCTGTGAGAAAAAAAAAACATGTAAATAGTAAGTACATAATATATTCAAGAATTATTAGTTATGTGTAATTATTAATAATAAATGTATTGATTATATGTAATCGGGCATCGAGTAAACGGAACTTGTTTATATATTTTATTCTGTTGTCTTTCCCCACTATTTCTACACCATCGTCATCGATGTTTGCACGTAAAATCTTATTCGACGTGGCAGGTTGCAAATGAATGTGTGAACCATCTGTCTACTCCCCGGGTGTGTACTAAACTCAGTTAATTTAGTAGAAGATTCAAATGTGTATGTTTTTGCCATGATATGACCCCGAATATGACGAAGTTAATGTCATGACGATTATGACGTTTCGTGCAGCCAGGTGTTTGTAGTTCCAAGGTCCAGCGATCTTAGTATTTGAATGGCTGTCAACACCATAATCTGTCGGACAATGTCATATTTCGGAATGATTTGGCCACACTTTGTCACAAACAAAACAAGTTGAAGATAACGAGAGTTCATGTTTAGGGACTGGACAGAAATTAAAGGGGGTGGTGTTTTTAAGGGAGGGTATTTATTTTTCATGTAAGCGATTGGGGGTGGGTGGATAACTTTATTTTGTGCAGCAGGGTGACTGTTTTCTATGAATTAAATATATTGATTATAATATACAAAAAATGCAATAAAAAATTGTGTAAATTAACCAATTTTGATAAAAGAAAAATTCATGTAGGTATTGTCGCTTTATTAAAACGACTATATAACAGTCATGACTCAAACACATTACTAAAATAAGCGGTGTTGACTAATACCCATGCAAACAGTAAGTGGTACAGCAAAATTAAAAGAAAAAACAATGTAAATTAAGTTTACTTATGTACTAGACGACACTTTTGCAATGATTCTATTTTTTTTAACTGTTTTCTTTGTAAACGGTCAAAGAAGGGAATTCAACATGAAAGTATAATATGGTCTATATTTTTTGTATTTTCCCTGCATAATTTTGCTACATTATTTCTGCATATTTTGTTTTTCATTTACAATTTGTCTATCGTTATTGTTGTTTACAATAAATCATCAACAGATGTGTTTATGTTTCTATGTTTTATTAACATCATCATAACTTCATTAACTTCAATGACACCTTTTCCACTAAAAAAGGAATGAGGTAGTAACTATAGAACATTGCAAAGCGCATAAAAGTCAGATACTGTGCGTAGACTATAACTTTAGATTTTTCTGGCGATTTTGTGATCATCTCGCAATTCACACGACTTCTCTAATTCTCACATGATCTTCATTGCATATTACACCCTTACCCTCATAAGTTAATATACTTGTACATACGAGTCATTGGCATGGCCATGATAATAATAGTTTTATTTCTTCACCTAGGTAACAATGACCACTTTGTGTGTAACTTTACAAATCTTCCTCGTTCTGTTGGTGTCGGTTACAGTTGCCACGGATGTAACTACAAAGGATGAGGACCAAGTGAACACTATCGACAGCAAGTTTTTAGCATCTATTTATAATGGCATAGGTGAGTTATCAAATACCATGTGCACTTAGAACTGCATGAACATATTAGTCTGTACCATCATCAGTTTGGTTTTTGAGGCTTAGTTTATTTTCAATACATTTGATATCTCTTGGTTATTTGTACACATGGATGAAGTCAGACAAATAACGATTTCTGTCTTCCAGGTATGTATGTGTATAGTCCAACATATCCAGGACCAGACATGAAAATGTATTCAAGTGTCAGTGCAGTCATTGCAGCTTGAACTTGAGTATCTTGAGGGCTCCTAATTTCGAGGCTAAAATTTATTGAAATTTGTGGTGAAAATGTTTGACAATTTTGAAAGGCATCAGGGCATGGTCTAGAGTATGGTCAGAGCGTAACTTAACATTTACTTAGCTTTAAGTTCACTTAGTATTCTTTCTAAACTGGCACATATCTAAATTGTGCTTAGTAAGCTACCTATCTACATCTCATATTAGTAACTTTGGTAAACACTACACAGAATATGTTGAAATTACTGATGACAATGAAATTCACATTAAAAATTGTAAGTTTTTATGAAAAAAGGTGAAGCCAGCTGATAATCAGCTTTGAAGTTAAGTTATGCTTGGACTGAACTTAAAGTGATTATCGCCATGGCTTCTAGGGAATCACATTCATTTGCTTCAAAATTAACAAAACAATTACAGAAAAATACATAAAGTGTGCTCACAATTTTCTCAGAAGGAATTATACCTTGCAAAGGATTCCAAGTCAAACTTACAATAAATGATGAAGTAGTACCAGTAATACTATTGAATTGATCACCAGGTCCAGTGTTAAACCCACCTCTAGCAGAAAACACGATCGAATTGGAATTACCGATACCTGAGCAGATACATATTGCTTATGGCGACGTAGCGTCTGAAATGATAGTCATGTGGTCTACCCCTATACCTGCTTCATCACAAGTACTGTATGGTCTGGCACCCAATAACTTCTCTCTTAGTGTGTCTGGAGATTCTGTTGATTTCTTTGATGGCAACCCGGACGGATTACATTATTTACATCGTGTTAAATTGTCTGTAAGTATTCTTGAGATTTAATAATAACATTTATGATTGATGATGCTACCATTTATATTGAAATGTACCAGTGGTTTACTTTGATTTTACGGAAAGTAGAACCAATGTGAGGTTTATCAGCGCATTCAACTAATGCGACAAATGCTCGGATAATAAAGCTGTTTATAACCCCAATCTAATGAAAATATAACTTTTTTGTGGGGGGTATATATCACAGACCCTTTTCTAATAAATCTTCAAAAAAATATTGTAGTTTACAATGACAAATAAATTTCATTTTTACCTTCTCCATATCATCAAAAATAGAATGGAAAGAAATATATTGAAAAAACATGTCTGTCGTCGTTGTTATAATTGTTAATGTGTACAACATAACTTGAGTAATTTCAAACTGTATCAAACTTGGTTATGTTATTGATCTTAGCTGGTTCTTGCCCGAGTATGATGTACAAGTAAATTAGATACTTAGAGTAATATGTCTCATTATATTTGTAGTGTGATGTAATTGTAATTTTTGTGAATCCTGGAATGAATCTGATTGTACCCTACAGATGGTGATTTTGGAAATATTTAAAAAGGAAAGGAAAGGTTTAAATAATTGTGCATTAGTTTTCCTTGTTTCAATGTCTGCATGATTATTTCTGTGAAGAAACAATACATAATTATGCATGTGATGATTGTAATCTTATTCACGAGATTTTAAAGAAAAAAACAATTCAAATATTGTCACCATGCTTTGTTATTCAGTTGAAGCGATTCTCAAATTGTTCCCCAACAATCGAAACATCAGTTATTTTCCTATGTACTTTAAATATGTCAATATATATCTTCACAGTAACACAATATTTAAACTCTATGCAGTCTTAGTTCATCAATCAACATCATCTTATTACTATGCATGTATCAAAGCTCCAGATGATATATGGCATAAATTTGATGATGATAGTGTTATAGTATTTTATAGTGTAGACACAGTTTTATCAGTTAGATAATTACATCAATCAAGGAGTTTTTGTAGACTGCTTTAATTCTGCTGTTTCAATCCTAAACCTTGTTTGTATTCAAAATTAATTATGACAATTCATATTCCTATTAAAACAAAATATGATAAATAAAATATTATGTAAGAAAGAGTAAGGTCACCAGAGTTTATCTATGTTTATAACTGGTGATGGAGGATACAGCTGTAGAATGTTATACCTAGATTATCCATTAATCTCACGTAGTTCAATAATTCATACAATTTACAATTTTTACTGTATGTACTTGTCAGTACATGAATTTATGTGCTCTGCGTGTTATACATGTATGGTGGTTGTTTTGATATTCGTATTTATTGTAGGGTATCTTTGTATATTATTGTGAGTAGACACACAGTAGCAGCTGACTAACCGAAGCGTATAGTGCAAGTAACCCTGTATTTATCACTGCATCGCTACAGTTTTATTTCTGACCTTTATTTATGAAATTCAGTGTTCTCCCCAGGATTTTGGTCAAGAATGACAGCTAATTTGCATAATAATTAGCATGTAATTTTTAAAAAAATAATATACCTTGTTCACGTAATGCGTACAACCATTTCAAAAATAGTTAAGACTTCAGATGACCTGGTACCATGAAATTCACTTCTTTTTTGTATGTTATTCATTACTCGTATTAAAATTTTTATTCATTTGTAAATTTTAAAGAATAAATCAAATACGTTTTAATCATAAAATCACAGTCATAAAAAAAAAACAGTCTTGAATGTCTCTCCATTTTACTGATAGAATTTAATAGCTGGACAGAATTATTCTTATAAAGTTAGAAGTGATAATGAGTTGAGTGATGGATATATATTTACTGCAATGAAAGATGGACAGGTAAGTTTAATATATGTTTTGCTCCCTGCCAGGCAGACAATAATTTCATGTAGCTGGTGACAACCTCGCCACCTCTGATACTCTTAACATCAGTTACCTTAAGGTTCTATGTTCTTTGCCTGTCGTTTGTCTGTCTGTCTTTTATTTCAGACGAGCACTCCACATTTTAGTATGTAAGTACAAAATTTCATTTGAAAAGCAAAATTTCTACAAATCTGTCAAATTTTGGTTGAAAATTACCAGTAAAAAAAAAAACAATTTTAGACAGGCACTTTCTATTTTCTAGTTATAACCATGGTTACCTTTGACAATCATATATTTGCTAGCCAACTGGCTATATTAATTAAACATAAATTTAAAAAGTAAGACCTCTTTGATGACTCATTTAAATTTCATGACAGATGCATTCTGCAAGTGATATTTGTACAAATGGTACCACACTCTGACTTATTAAAATATGGTCAGTGACTAAATTCAATAGTTATAGCGGGGGTGTCGTCACCTGCACATGCGTCAGATGGCCATAGTGTGTGATTGTTTACAAACAAGCGTTTACCCATGAATCTTTGCGTTTTTAGCGTGTGTTGGACTCAATTCCCGCGCGTACACACTTGACGACCCTTGCACTTTAAATGTATTTTAGCTGTCTACATTAATATTGTACATTTGAGTTTATTTGATTCATGCAAACAGTATCATGTGACACCTGTGTACTCATTTCAGGATTGGTCTCCTGTATTACTTGTCTACGGTGACATGGGTAGGATTGGAGGTGCTCCTAGTCTGAAATTACTACGCAAAGAAGCCGCTTCAGGATTGGTTGATGCAGTCTTACATGTTGGGGACTTTGCATATGATTTGCATACCGATGGAGGAAAGGTTTGTTTGAGCCAACTTCTTTTCTTGAGTTGTCTTGCTCTATTCCAAAAAAAATAACCAATCAAAGCTATGATTATTACTAATCTTGGTAAATTTCTACATAAACCATTCAACCTTAGAAGGGAGTTTTTGTTACTTTCGGTATAAGAATTTTGTTATATATATACGTATTTTACAATTTATGTACATTCTCCAGTGCGTGTGTATTCTTTTGTTATTTCTGTTATGTATAGTCATATAGACCTGTGGCCTAAAAGACAATAAACATTATTTATATTACTAATTTATAGATATTAACTGTTCCTTACTGTACATGGTGATGTAACTATACAATATAATAGAATTAATTTAGACCGTGAAGGTCAATAAAACTTTTTAAAAAACAACAAAAATGCACAGAATTAGTCAATAGCATTAGAAGCACATCTCCAATTATTTATTTTTACCATAGGGAAATCTCTGTGATTTACATAAGTATACACACTACTAATAAAGCAAATAGGATAACTACCAGTACATCTTGAACCCTTAACCCTTGATTTGTTGACAAGTAAATGAGAAATTAACAGTAGAATCTGAATTTAAAAGTTCTCTTCAAATAAGCTTGATTTATAAACAATACACACTGAGTTAGGGGGCTTTGTTTTGTCTTTGAAGGTGTACATGTAGGTATATTAGTCTATTAAAGAATATGACCTTTCAGTACTCTCAAAATTGGTGAGGAAGTGAGAGCAGGATATGCACTTTTAATATATCATTTTTTTTTTAGCTAAAACATCATTTGAACACATTTTATGTTTTTAGCTTGTTTTACAATTTGTTAAGTGGGAATGCAACTTTAAATAAAGCAGTGTTAAAATAAACATGTTACCCTGTACGTCAAAGTAGGGTAAGAAATTTCTGAATGTTATGAGAATAAAATTGACACTACATGTATATTCTGATTGTATTTTTATTTTAGATTGGTGATGACTTCATGAATCGTATACAGAGTATAGCAACTCGTATCCCCTACATGACAGCAGTTGGAAACCATGGTATGTTATAATTCATGTTATAAAGCCCTGTATTTACTGGTATATAAAAATACATGAACACAACACACATGTTTAATAATCGCATTAATTTTACAAGAGACAAATATTCAATCAGTAAACGTCATCAAATTTTAGAGCAGTGAAAATTTCCTGGACTCCTACAACATGGAGTGTCAGCGACTTTTGCAAAAATTTTGTCTCCATGATTGTTATAACATCATCAAATTGGGAAAATTTCCGGCTGTGAAAATGAAAAGGTTTATGTACTGTATATAGCACATAGACTTTCATTTGTAGTATAGAGTTATATGTTGAACATAACATGTCTTTGTGTTTCAATCTCATCTTCAACTCATACAACTACAGCTCTGTATAATCCTCCAGCTGACCGAGAACAAATCAATAAATAATATATATTATTATACATCTGTTACCATAACACCATAAGTTACATTGTGCTGTAATATTGTGGTGTTGCACTGGGTATTTTCATCCTACCATATTAGGAAATGCAATTTCCAATTATGGAACGATTACGTGTGTAAGCGTCTTCTAATAATAAAAACAAACATGGCAGCCCCCAGGGCTCAATCTGTTCTAAACTTTTTGGATTTCGGCATTCCCATAATGTATCCTTGGGGGAAAGAGATGTATAATAATAAGGTTATTATGACAATACCTCAAAGTATGCACTCAGACAGTGTGCTGCGCGTCGGTCGATACTCCTGCTGGTACTGTCTTCGTACTTACTTTTCGGTATCCTCCTAATAACCTCGTAACCATCTAAGGACAGAAAAGATATAATGTCCAATACATAAATTGTAAAATTCTTCTTTCTTCTTTGTAGAGATCGAGTTTAATTTCAGTCATTATAGATATCGTTTTTCCATGCCCAATTCACCATGGCCCATGCCTCTTGATAACATGTGGTACAGTTTTAACATGGCTAAAGTACATTTTATAAGGTGAGTATTTTATTACTTAAAGAGTGATAGTCGCTTTGGATACATCTCTATAGGGCTCATATCTAACAAATCAAATGTTTTTATAACATTATTCTACTAATAGTGTCCTGTGTAATTGTGTTACCCAGTAGTTATCTCGTCAGCTATTTGAAAATAATTCAGGGGATAATTAGTACATTTGGCAGGAGATAAATTATAACGTTTTAACTCAAAAAATAGTTGTTTATATCACGTTGCTATGTGCGAATTTCAGTTTTCCCAATGTCTTTTATTGGATTGCACTATTGCAAAAAATATTGAAAAGAACTAGGTTATGAAGATAGTTATTTTTTTAATTTCATAATTTTAATACTCCAATTCACAATATATAAGGATGCATTTCTATGTGAATTTGATTTATTTTTTATTTTTTATTTTAGCTTAAATCTTTTTTCCTACTTAACATACTGGGTTGATTTGTAATATTAAGTTATAAAATAAAATATATCAGTAGTGAAAAATGTAACCTCATTATATTTTCAGTAAAACTTTCGAAGTGAAAGTAAAGTCTATTTAGTTTGATTACTGTAAACACTAATAGTTATTCACATGTTTATAATTTCCCCATTTTTGCTGATAAGTATAATTCTCGGAACTTTGAATCCACATGAACATGTAAATTTACAATAGTCCTGGAGGTAAAACCCAGTGACTATATCAATATAGGGAATTTGTGAAATTATTACTGTTACTGTAGCTGTGCAGCTTAGGGACAGCTTAGTAGGGAAATATGTATTACTGTGGAATACTTTATTTTCGCTGGAATTAATTTTCGCTGAAAAGACTTTTTGGGCATTTTGTATGGAATTTATTTTCACTGATTTTTGATGAGTTTAATGTGAAATATAGGAAAAAAAGTATATTCCCTCGATTTTATTTTCACGGAATCATCCCTTCAGCGAAAATAGCGAAAATAAACTCCAAGCGAAAATAAAGTATTCTACAGTATAGCCAAAACCCACACTGTTCTATTAATGCGCATACGTGTTTAATAGAGCTAAAATGGTGCTTTACTGATGTTTCCTTTCTGTACATCAGCAGATGCAAGCTATGCTCTGGTGAATGTATATATTCATAAAGTATGGTACCTTCTCTGTAACGGCTAAAACCAATAAGACTGAATAATATTTTAAATTATGAAATACAATGTACATTTAATATCTGTACTGTATACTGTTTCAGGGTTTTTTCTAGAAAAAAAACTGCAAGAGGGAGCACTGCAATTCAGCGGCGCCACCAAGTGGGGGGGGGGGGATCTCCCTACCAGGGTGTGGAGTTTTTGATAATTCTAAGTTAAAATTGAGCATTCTATGGCTTAATTGGGGCCAAAATTACTATCAGACAAGTCACAGTTGAAGACTGCGACCACATGTGATCCCTGCTCAATCAGAATTTGATGGTTGCCAGAGGATCTGTTCCCCAGGGTAAGGGGGTGCATGTCCATGGCATGAGGGCGCTGCGCCCCTGTTCCCTTGTTTAAAAAAATCCTGCTGTTATTCTTTGTTTTTGGTTCTTTTACAATTATATTTCACAAATACTGTAATTTGTTATACTGCATGCATTTCAATACGGAGGTGAGTCTACGGACAAAATAGTATCTTATCAGTGCTTCTAAGATAGCAAATACCATATTATTTCACTTTATTTAGAAGTAGATGCCATTACGTAAATGACAGTGGTGTGTCTATGGTCACAATAAGCTATATTTAGAATACCCTAAATGTTATATTTGCTTCTAATCTAGCAAATGCAGTATATATGTACTGTAAAATGACTAATTTTCACTGGGTTTAAATTTCACTAATTTTACCATTTCAGGCATATTCAGTGGGTTTTAAATTCATGGTTTTATCATTTAGATAATGTGTTCTATGCTAAATTTTACATATTCATTGGGTTTTAATTTAGCGCATTTTTCAGTCAGCGAAATAAGCAAAATTAAAACCCGGTTAATAATTAACCCCTTTACAGTATTTGTATTGATTCTCTGTCACATTTCAGTTACTCCACAGAGGTGTACTTCACCGATGATAATCTCATAGATGTACAGTATCAATGGTTATTGAATGATTTACAAGAAGCAAATCAACCTGAAAATCGTTTGAAAAGACCCTGGATTATAGTTTATGGACACAGACCAATGTACTGTTCAAATGCAGACTCAGATGACTGTACAACTTTGGATTCTAAAGTTAGAAACGGGTAAGTTATTATTGACAATATGATTTATAATAATTTTCTGATGTTTTGATCATTTTTGACATTCACGGTTTTGCAAATAAACTTTTCATAATGATAAATTTCACATCGTTCTGTTTTGCATATTGTTTCACTCGTTGAGCAATCAACAAATGATTGAAACCTAGGACCATGATGTGTTTGTCGGATTACATGGATTGTATGCTAAGAGAACGGTTTGTTTTTACTCATATCATTAACACATGGTAATTCTGACAGCTGCATCTGTTTTATACTTGAATGTTGCGGAGCCCGAACAACTGATGTTCTGAGACCCATTTGGTAAAGTTATAAAAAGACATGTGTGAATGATATGAGAATAATTGTTTCTCATCTCTTTCAGATTAGAGGAACTGTTTTTCACTCAGGGAGTCGATCTAATTATTGAAGCACATGAACACTCCTATGAGCGCCTCTACCCTGTGTACGAAGGCAAGGTTTTGGGCAAGGACTACACTAATCCTAAAGCACCTATACACATCATTAGTGGAGCGGCTGGTTGCAATGAATTTGATGGTGTCTGTGTCAATGCTATGTTAGGACCTAGAGGTGAGTTGTCACATACCAATGTTTCACTCAATAAAATAAGTATAGAGTAAAGTCTGTATATGTTACCTATATATTTATTGCTAACAACTGATGGAAATGTTCCTGTTCTTAAAGATGCAATAAAATATTGCTATTACTATTACCTAAGATACAGTACTTTATTGTTGAGAAGACTTGATAGGAATATTATATATGTGTGTTTTGTTTCTTACATATGCTCTGTTCTAAGCAAAGATTGACATCTATTTTGTTGAAAATTGCCAATAATAGAACATGGTACTCTTGTGTTTTACCAAATCAAGTGTGGGAGGCTATTTTAATACAGATGTCTGTCTGTCTGTCTGTCTGTCTGTCTGTCTGAATATTTGTGTGTGTGTGTGTGTGTGGATGTGTCAAATCCACCAATATCTCATGAACCACTAGGTGGATTGGAATGCAATTTGGTACTTTGTGATGAACTCCAGACTTGATCAGATTTAGGCAAATATCCACACATATTAATTAGATAATTTTCATAATAATCAACTATTATCAGCATGTTGTTTTGATATTCTAACTTGATACATTCACATCGTTTTTCATGAATATTCAGCGCTACATAAAATTAATATTAAGTTATAGCTAATTTGCATGATAATTAACTACTTTCATGTTTTGTTGACTGTTTCAGTATGTTTGTCATCTTTGTAGCAGTTTTGCTAAAAGAAAAGAAACGTACAATTAAATTTCAGTCTGTTTATTCTGTATATTAATGGTAGTCTGTTCAAATGGTTTTTATCTTCACACTTGTATACTGTGTGTGTAGTTGAGTATCTGATATTGCGAGTGCCGTCACCTGCGCACATGCGAAATTGAGTCCCAATCGACGATAACAACACACACTAAAAACGCAAAGGCTCATGGGTAGACGCTTGTTTGTAAACACTCACACGCTATGGCCATCTGAGGCTTGTGCAGGTGACGACTCCCCCACTTTAATTAACTATGTTTTATTTCGTATTCTATTTGTATTTTGCGATTGAATGATTTGATTCATGGTATATCATTAGGTTCGAATCCATCTGTAAAACAGCATGAGCAATGCTGCGGCAGAAATGTTCAGTAAACATTAACAAATATTGACTTCACTTCACACGAGAGCACTTTCTAGCATCTCTAATTATGATATCCATTACATAGGTATATCTGACTTACTAATGGTTCAACAGGGACTATGTCATTAACTATCACTTAGGATAGGGTAGAAAGGAATGACTCGTCTGTTTGAAATCATGGAGGGTGGCTGGAAGATTTGGTAAAAAAATAAATTGCGAGGTAACAAAACAAACAAAATTGCATGCAAATTGTTGCAGGAATAATATAATGACACATTCAAGAAAAAATAAAAGTGTACAGATTAGAGCTGCGAAAAAAAAATTGTGTTGCTCACACTTCTCCAGCCACCCCCCATAATTTGTAATGACTGACCTCCTAACTTGGTAATGATAAATAAAACTTCATCTTGATTTTTTTTTTTTTAATTATTCAGGAGATTGGTCAGCATTTCGAGCATGGTTGCCAGGGCTTTATGGTTTCGGAAAATTACATATCGTTAATGAAACACACATCTTTTGGAAACAAGTATTAGCTCTGAATGGACAAACTATTGATTCTGTATGGATTGAACAACATAATCATGGACCATTCAACATTGCTGACTTTGACTTTGAAATTGAAAATAATGATGAAGAAGAGGATGCTTGGTGGTTGTCAGATTAACAATTATGCACACATCTCTGCTAACCACCCTTCCTGCAACTTTTAAGCCATCCATACATGTTAGCCGTCAAGTTTTGCTTTCCATCTACCCCAGCTTACAATCCATCCATGCTTGCCAGCCCTGCTAGCAATCTCGGCTAACCATTCGTCCATGCTGGTCATAAATCATACATTCTTTAGTAGCCACCAATCATTTCTAGCCATGCATCAATCATGCTAAACCACCAATCTGTATTACTCAGATTTCTATCAATGTACAATTTCCAGCCAGCAGCTGAAAGTCCATTTTTATTCCTGCCCTCAATATTACGGCGTCCATCTGCTATCACTGTCACTGATATACCTTGCTATGTTGTAGGTCACATCCAGCCGTCCACTCCTTTTGATGTTTCCTCTTCGTTATCCATTAATCGTTTCTCTGAGTCTTTCCCTACTCTTCATCCCTGGCTGACTGCCATCATTGTTCGCTACCTTCAGCTTTTCTTGCTAGCCTGTTGGTGACTTGGTTAAAATATTCATCAAGAATTATAAATATAGATGTAAATCCTTGACACAGTGAAAGTTTGAAATGAAGTCCAGAATGTCCAGCTTATGTATTGAATTATTACTTCAATAATCAAAATGAATGCTTCATATATATAATATACTTTCATTAACACATAACATCCCTTGGAAGAGGTGAAAAAGGCTACAATTGAAAATAAAAAAAAAAAAGCTTAAATAAATATAAAAAAAACCTAAATAATGCAAGGCAAACCAATTATTTGCTTCTATGTTGAATACTTAATAATCAAAACAGCTCAAGAGGTCATGACATGTCATCACTGATCATGAGCAAATCAAATTTACTTTCATTGAATGAAAATTATTGGGTAATGTTTTATTTTCCATCTTCTAAACACAATTTCTGTCTTTGCGTTTGAAACTTTGTAGAAACCATTAGAAAATGTTGCACTTCTTCAATGTGTTTGTCATCAGTATTCACAGATACAGGCACATAAAAATAGTGACCATATTCTATTTTTCAGTAAGTGATGAGTGGTTACTGTTTTGGTAGGAGTCTCACAAAGAGCAACATTTGTTTTAATCATTTAGGTATCGTTCAATGTGGATATCTTGCATTCTGATTTGTTTTAATGTCATTTTTGATTTCTTAAATTACTGTAAAATATTTTACTTTAGCTGGAATGTATTTATTTACTTTTTGGGTGTTTTGTATGGAATTTATTTTTACTGAATCATCTCTTCAGTGAAAATAGTGAAAATAAATTCCAAGCGAAAATGCATTCCTTATAATTGATATAATTGATATCTTGATACAATGTTGGTTAGTTTTTCAACAGTAACCTGCCATGAGAATCAGATGACTGTACGTGCTCATTCCAGTCAACAGTTTTTATTACCCATGTATGGTCACAATGAATACCTTCGTTTTGATTTATTGGTCCAATAATATTGTAATTCTTTACAAAAAGAATGTTTTCCATACTCGGATAGTGTATAGAAAATTGGTTCTGCAATTTTTCTAGAACATGCCACTTTTGGTGATACCTATTGAGTGATGTGGAAGAAGCGAGACACTTCATATCGATAAATTCAAAAACTCGGGCATTGAAATCTTACCTAGAAACGAGTCCACTTCAAATTACGGTACATACGTTTCACTATTTTATCAATCTTAGATTATTCTGGGAGACTATGCATGGAATAAATATGATGCATGTTTGTTTTCATTATTCAGAATTATTTTAATATCAAAACTGGGATATTTTTAAACGTATTCTGTGAATATCACTGTATTATAGCTGGAATTTCCTAACTGTAAACAAAATGGACATCTATGCATGTAATTTATTTTTACCTATTTGCCATGAAGTGTATATAAACCAATTAAAAATGTTTTTTCAGTTGGTTTTATCGTTACACTAATAGAAATTTCTCCCTGAAAATAAACATTTCTACAGTAATTTTAATTGAGGAAATAAAAAATATAAAAAATGTTAATATTTTTGGATTTTTATAATTATTTAAATGGTTATTATGCATTATGTGTGCGTTGTATTTCGTCTACTTATCATAACTGCACAGTCTTCGTGCTGTTTTGGTTAAACTGTAAATGCATCAAATATTTACTGATTTTTAAATTTCGATGTTTTTACCGAAAAGTAAAATTTGCTAGAGTAAATCCAGTAGGTAAAATAGAATAATAGAACTTGTATCAAAATAGTCCTGTGAAAATAAATGCTTTTACAGTACCTGGGTATGGGTCACATGAAATGTATATTTATTACTAAATTTGAACGCATGCTAGGGTATGCATGTGTATAGAACACAGAAATAAATCCATATATCTAAGCATCATTATGTGTTCTTTGCTTGTCAAATTATTCTATTGAAGTATATATGTTGTAATCTCTTGTGAAAAAATATTATATTATAGAGACTAGAAATATTTGATTTTGTCATGTCCTGTTTCAACAGCCTAATTGTATGAGACCAGGGGTTGCTGAACAATAATTTATGCAACACAGATAACATCGTCCGTTTGCATTGGTTTCGTATCTGTTAATTCCTCAACAGCCTAAATGTACGAGACCAGGGGTTGCGGAAAAATAATGTACGCAACACAGATACCATCGTCCGCATTGCATTGGTTTCGTATCTGTTAATTCCTCTTTCCATGGAGGCAGTAAGCTGA